ATGTTACTTGAATAGTCAATTGGGTAATAGCCGATTCAATCCGATTGAACACCTGCAGGCTTTTGTTGTTCAAAAACCAGCTACATTGCATATTGCAGAAGTTATAAAAGCTTAAGATGGAACTTATTATAATCTATATCAAATATATATTAAAAGCCTTTAAAGTTTTGTTCAGATTTTTAACATTATTTATTTAACCTTAAAAATTATTAATATTTGTTCAAGTTAATATAATTTTTTTTGTTTATTAAATACTTGATTAAAGTTGTTTTTAAAATAATCATAAATTTTTTTTTATTATAAATTTTTTTTTTTTCTGAAATTACATGTCAAAGTTTACTTTTTAAAAAAAAAGAAAACATTTTTGTTCAAGTAATTATCTCTCTCACTGTATAGAGGTATTCTGAAACATTTTTAGTTATAATCAAGTAAAAAATTCTTCTGGTTTAACATTTTGTAATACACCCAATATAGATAATGTTTAAAAAATTATATTATAATATACATTATAATATATGGTCCAGAACATTTATTTTTAGAAAGAGTTAGACCATCTAATTTTTCTATGAAATTGGTTCAATTTAATAGAATTCATCATATTTCACCAGTGTGTAGATAATTGCATGATTCCATTAGTCCAAAATATACTAAATTTTTTTGCTATATCTCTTCAATAGCCATGAAATGTTGATAATGATTTTTATTGTTTAACCAGTCAACCAAATGATTTACAATAAGTTCAGCATTATTGCTATTTATTAATATTCATATCTGGAGCAAAATGAAGCAGTCATTAACTAGGTCTTTTAAAACAGAGTAATGTTCTTCTTTAGTGAAACTAGGAAATATTCTTTCATTCAACTCATTAAACTTTTTCATTTGCAAAATGTCCATAAGCTTGTCTAATTATATATTTTATTTTGAATAATTAAAAATAAATATGAAACATTCATTTTCAGCTTTTTTTTCATGTCTAGTAGTAAAACCAGCTTGTATTTATAGAAATCAGATTTCTATAAACACTTGAGTTTTTTAAAAACTGTTTTTTTTTTAATGAACAATAATTCAATATGCAAAAGGTACATTTTAAAGGTACTTTATAATTACTCATTTAAATAATGCATTCCTTGTTCTTTTTCTATATTTTTAATAAACAAAATTTTTACTAGAACTTTCCTTTCAGTCTAAATATGAAATACTCATGACTTTTCAATAGAAAAAAAAAAGAATAATAATGCATTTAATGGAAGTAACTTAAAATAAAAATTTACCAATTTAGCATTGATACGACTTCAATTTTAAAAATATCACTTTTTTAAAAAACAACCAAGTTATATATTTTTTCACTGTTTTTTCTAAATTTTATACATGCAACTTAAAAACTAACATACCCTCCTGATACATAAAGTTAACTTCTATGGATATATATACATTACTTATTAATCTAAAATTTAAATCCATGCTAATATATAGTAAGATAAAAAATTATGAAAATAATTCAGCTATTCTTCTTCCTTCACTATTTCTTATGAATACTATACATAGCTGAGTATAGGAGCAATCTTAACAGAGGTAAAAAGGAGTCCTCTGAGCAATTGGGGAGCTAAAGTGATGAAAGCTTAGTGATCATAAATCTATAGCTCTATGACAATCTATAAAGTTTATACCATTTTTAAAGGTACTTTTATAATAAAGTTTATTTTCAATCAAGTGCTATTTGTTACTATTACTACCAAGAAGTAATGGTATGTGATATACACACCAGCAATATGAATCACAAACAAGTTTTACCTGAATATTTGAACATTCTACTCCAAAACTGGAACCTTTTCCTAGCAAATAATGGAACATAAATCGTGGAAGCCTGCAAGCAAAATTATAAATACAATAAGTAAATAAATGTAAAAAAAAAAAAAAAAAAAATCATAAGATTAAGTTAAAAACTTAACTTACCAATAATAAGTGTATATATGTATATACATACATACATACATACATATATATATATATATATATATATATATATATATATATATATATATATATATATATATATACATATATATATATATATATATATATATATATATATATATATATATATATATATATATATATAAATATATTCATATATATCTTATACTGCTGAGTTAGGTGAGCATGATGACGACATACTGAAATAGCCTGCTGCCGGGGCTTCAGTACATACATCGACTGACAAATAGCCTGACTCGCAGTGGAGTGCTGCTACATCGACTGAGGGTTTGGTATGGGTCAATTTAAGTGAGCATCGTTTTCTCACAACGCTCACTTAAATTAGGCTAGCAAAAAAAGTGAGCAATTGCACATATAAAAATGCTATAGTAGATATATATATGTATATATATATTATATATATATTATATATATATATATATATATATATATATATATATATATATATATATATATATATATATATATATATATATATACATAGATATATATACATATATATGTATATATATATATATATATATATATATATACATAGATATATATACATATATCTATGTATATATATATATATATATATATATATATATATATATATATATATATATATATATATATATATATATATATATATATATATATATATATATATATATATATATATATATACAGATATATATATATACAGATATATATATATACTATTTGTATATTATTATTATTCTTATTATTATTATTATTATTATTATTATTATTATTATTATTATAGTATTTCTACAATAGAAGTTTGACTTCTATGAGTCGAGTGTCTAACAAGACCCGACTATAGTAGACCGACGTGAGATAGAACGATTCCATTTGTCATAATTGTTTTTGAAACGATTAACTGAATTCGCATATATATATATATATATATATATATATATATATATATATATATATATATATATATATATATATATATATATACTATTTTATATATTATTATTACTATTATTATTATTATTATTATTATTATTATTATTATTATTATTATTATTATTATTATTATTATTATTATTATTATTATTATTATTATTATTATAGTATTTCTACAATAGAAGTTTGACTTCTATGAGCCGAGTGTCTAACAAAACCCGACTATAGTAGATCGACGTGAGATAGAACGATTCCATTTGTCATAATTGTTTTTGAAACGATCAACTGAATTCGCAGCAACTACCGAAGCAGGCAAGGCGTTCCATGATGACACCACTCGGTTTCTAAAGAAGTTATGTCTTTGAGAGTTTTTCGATAATTTTCTATCAATTTTATGCTTGGCACCACGAAGATGACCTGCGGGACCATCACATAGGAGTGCACTTGCTCTGTTAATCTGCTGTTGCCAGTTAACAATATTTAATTTTTTATAAATTTTAAAAAATTGAATTACATCTCCTCTTGTTCGACGTTCAGCTAATGAGCTGAGACCAAGATATGCTAATCGTTCCTTGTAATTCAAGCTGCGAAATTGTGGAACGAGTTTGGTAGCTCTTCGTTGGACCAACTCTAACTTTTTAATGTCCTTTAGAAGAAAAGGGCACCAAATTGGTGCACAGTACTCCAATATCGGTCTTACATATACTGTAGAGAGCTTCACGAACATAGTTGGATTTCATTTTTTAAAAGTTCTTTTGAGTATCCCAAGTATAGAATTAACTTTGAGAGTGGCATCACTAATCTGATCTGACCATTTCAGTTTATTATGTATCAGAACACCCAATGTTCTTTCAACGGATACATCTTCAAAAGGAATTTGACTGCCATTTTTATCTAACATTGTCAAGGGGATATTGATGTCTGTGGAACCACCACGGAACTTTAGAACCTTGCATTTATTTATGCTAAGTTCCATGCACCAAAGTCTTGACCAATTACATATCATATCAATATCATTTTGAACTAAAGCCAAGTCCGTAACTGTTTTTATTTTGGCAACCAACTGGCTATCATCAGCAAAGAGTTTGCAATTATTTTTGACTAATTCTGGCATGTCGTTAATAAAGATCAAAAAAAGAAGAGGTCCTATGACTGATCCTTGAGGTACACCACTATGGACATCCTTCCATTCGGAAGAGAAATTTCCTAGAACAACCCGCTGTTTCCTATTTTCAAGAAAGTCTTTGAGCCAGGCAAAAATATTATTGCCAAAACCATAGCCACCCAGTTTGTGATAAAGCAGAAGATGTGATACACGATCAAAATCTTTGGCAAAATCTAACAAAATGAGCAATGCAGCACAGTTGTCACTTAAAGCTTTGGTAATAATATCCATTACTTCAAGAAGATTTATGACACACGATCTAGATTTGACAAAACCGTGTTGATGGCAAGATAATAGATTATGCTTAACTAGGTGTTCAGTCATGACATCACGCATTATTTTCTCCATTACTTTTCCAATTGCTGAGGTGAGGGAAATAGGCCTGTAATTTCCAGGATCAGTACGCTGACCCTTTTTAAATATTGGCGTTATATTAGCCAGTTTCCAACCAGACGGTACTTGTCCAGAATCAAACGATTTGATAAACAGGAGAGAGAGAGGCACACTGAATTCTTTAGAGCACATTTTTAGCACTCTAGGATGGATTCCATCATTACCAGTGCCTTTTGAAGAGTCAAGAGCAGATAAAAGTTTTTCAATATTGCAACAATTGAACAAGGAGCTAGAAACTGGTAAGCAAACTATTTCGGTTCTTCGAGGAAAATCAGGAGCTTTGGAGTGAGTTTCAGGTGATGAAAAAGCTTTTAAAAAGTGATTATTTAAGCAATTTGCAATAGACATATTATCTACTAATTGCACTCCATCGTGGTCAAAAAGAGATCGAATTTCACTTTTACAAGCCTTTTGGCTGTTTATATAAAAATAAAACTTTTTTGGACAGGACTTACAAGCGTAAATGACTTCACTCTCATACTTTAGTACAGCATCAGCAACAAGCTTTTTCACCAGACGATTTTGTTTGTTGTACAAGACTCGAATACTATCTTTAAATTTGCTTGAAGAACAGCGTAATTTCATAAATAGTCTAAATTTTTCATTAGTTGCCGCTTTAATAGTAGAATTAAACCATTTTGGATCACGTTTTTTAAAATTAAAAGACATATTATATTTGGGAACATATTATAATGGGAATTTAAATAATTCAAAGCTTTCATCTGCTGATTTATTTGTGAATAAGTTTGGCCAATTGATCGCTTTTAGGCTTTCACTAATGGCATTATAGTCACCTTTGTCATAGATATAATTAACTTTGTGATGTCTGATTGATTTGGTCGATGTTTTAAGTTTAAAATCCCATGAGAGTGAATTGTGGAAATAGTTTTTTTGAGTACAACCAAGCGGAGGACCAATTGTAATATTATGAATACGATCAGGGTCTTCAGACAGCACCAAGTGTGTTATTGATAAATGTTGGTTTGGTGACAAACTGAGATAGGAAGCAATCATCTATAGTTTTTAGAAATATTTTACTAGACTGTTTACCCTTTTTACATTTGCCACCCAAATCACTCCATCTGATATCACTATAATTAAAATCACCAACAATGAGAACACTTGTAAATTTACCATCATCAATTAGAGCTCTAGCACATTTGATTGACTTGTTGATTTGTAAATTAGACTCATATTTAGTGAAAGGTTGGTGATAAATACAACCAATTAACAAAATGTCATTTCCAATTAAAATCTGACACCATATTTGCTCGCTAATTTGTTCATCACTGAACTCACATTCAAATGAATGTATGTCTTTTCTAACATAAATAGCCACGCCACCTCCACAAATTGTCCTGTTACGAAGATATACAGTGTAATTTTCAAGATTTGTTGAAGATGTGATGGAGAACCATGTTTCAGTGACTGCAACAATGTGTGAGTAATCCAGTGATGCAATTCTAGCTTGGAATTCATCCCATTTATTATCCAAAGATGTTGGATTAAAATAAAGACATTTGAGGTCAGATAAAGAATAGCTAGATATAAAAGATAGAGGACTGTAAGTGTTAGGATTTGGTGTTCTATTCTTTGCGCTCAATCCATCGAATTGTGCCAGATCGCACAGACTAAAATCCTTTTTTACCATCTCTTGTACCCCAATTGAGTTGCCTTACTTGCAAATCCACAAAAGAATTTGGAAGAGCATTGTTTCTAATTCTACATTCAACATGAAGTTTAGAGAGAGCAATTCTTTCATTTTCAGTTTGATCTGGTCGAACATAAACTTTTGTTAAACCAAACTTATTTTTTAGTTCCCTTGCATTAGCCAAAGCTGATTGACGTTTTTCATAGTTTTTGAATTCAATTAAAACCAATGGAGGACGTGAAGACACAGAATTAAATTGATTTTCGATCTCACAAGAGATAGGAGTAGGAAGAGAGGCATTTTTCTTTTTAAGTCGTTTTTTGACTTTTACATCGTCAGAAGATACTTTAAGAATGGTAAGAATTTCATCAATCGCTTTACTATCATCATCCAAATTTACTGACTCAGTAAGACCACTTATGATCATATTATTTAAAATTCTATTTTTTTCGTTGTTTTCTTTTGAAATTTTGGCAAACAAAGCAGCATTTTTCTCTTTGGCAGCAAGGTCCTTTTCTTTACTTACAAAACCTGCCCAGACGTCAGCACTGTGAATATTATTTTGATAAGTGATATTTGCATTGTTATTATTTTTAAGAAAATCAATCCCCTTTCTTTATTTTCCATATATACAGATATATATATACAAATAGTATTGCGTACTAAGGTAAATCTGACGTAATACTGAAATAGCCTGCTGCTGGGGGCTTCAGTACATACATTGACTGACAAATAGCCTGACTGGCAGTGGAGTGCTGCTACATCGACTGAGGGTTTGGGATGGGGCAGCAATCGTTTCATTTATCATTCTTCGTTTTTTCTAAAAAAGCTGTACCGATTAAGGTAAGCAAAAAAAGTGAGCAAATGCTTATAAAAATACGCTTTAGTAAGTGTGTGTATATATGTATATATATATATATATATATATATATATATATATATATATATATATATATATATATATATATATATATATATATATATATATATATATATATATATGCAGCAGTTGGAGACAGTAGTTGAAATATGATTGCTTTGAAAATTTGAAAGATTTTGAATGAATTGCTTGCAGATTTAATTTTTAAGATTTGTAGGATAATACAAAAAAACACCTTAAAAAGGGTTATGCACAAAAATTGACGTTTTCAATATGTTCATATATAAATATTTTTTAATAATATTTGCATTGGTGAATGATTTAAATTTATAATAATTTGTAACAATTAAGCTAAATTAATAACAACTTGTTAACTATTTCAAGATTTAAATAGTGAAACTTTTATTCTTATATTCACATAAGAATATCAAAATAAACATTAATTTTTAAAATTTAAAACATTTTGAACAGGTATTTTTAGAAAAACATTTTCAATTAAAAAATATTACCATAAGATAATGCCCTTTTGAAATATATGGTTTACCCATCTCCCTGTTTAGTAGTTTGGTTAAAATGCAGTTGTGTCAATTCTTAAACCCATAAACATATTGGGATGCTACCGACACAAGTTTTACCGCCCGCTCAACACTCTGGGAGTGAGATTTTTCGGTAGCAAGAACTAAGTCTGTAGCACCAGTAACAGGAATCGGCCTATGATTCAAATAATTTTCACTTGATTTTCCATCTTTATGCATAAATGAGAGATAATGTTCAGGTTGAATGCATTTCTTTAGTACTTCTCCTTAAGGTGAGTTTATTATTTTACTTGTTTTAGTTATATGAACGAGCTTGCCATCAACCCCAAGACAAATTAACTGTTTTTTTTTGTCCACATCTTCACTAACGATTTTTAATTTTGACATAGCCTTATCTAATTTGCATCTGTCAATCAAAACATCTTTTATATCAACGTCATTTTTCAGGAGATGTTTAATGTCATGTAATAAAGCATTTGCAAGAGCTGCACCTACGTTTGATAAACACTCGTTTCTGACTAGTTCCATTGCAAATCTTGGAAGTTTAACTAAGTTGTATTTTCCAATAAGATTATTTATTGGCTTCCATTTACCTTCATACTAAAAAAAGTTAATAAATAAAATGCTTTCTATTTCATCTACATATATTTCACGTAGTTAAAAACATTTACCTCCGTATTGGATAAACCACTTGTTTCTATAATTAAGTTTACATGCGGTATAAGGGATTCATCTTCATCAACTAGCTTATGAGATACTTTTTGTCATTCTTTATCAAGTCTTTGAATCCTTTTGACAAATAATCTATAAACAAAAGAAAGTTGATATGCATCTTTTAGACCAATTTTTTTTCCTCTGATCATGAAGATAAGCTCTGTCTTCATAAGGTACTTTATTACTTTGAGAGCAAAGGCATACAATATGTTCTTCAATGCAATTTTCTTTATAACATGAAATTTTTCTGTCACTACAGAAAAACACATCTAATAAACAGGAACACACAGAAATATCAAAAAGTTTGTCCAAATCTGTACCAAGATTTCTTTTCGCATGACCTTTCAGTGCTTGCAATTAATATCTTTAACAAGTACAAGAGGATCTTTAACTTTCTTATTAAAAGAATTGTCAGTTATAAGAGATAAACTTGAGTTTACTGTAACCCAAATTGATTTTATATTATTGCTAATTTGCTGAGTTACTTATACAATATCTGCATTTGAATTTATATGAATAAGATAGTAATAGTACTGAACCTGATAGTAATAGTACTGAACCTGATAGTAATAGTACTAAACCTGATAGTAATAGTACTGAACCTGATAGTAATAGTACTGAACCTGATAGTAATAGTACTGAACCTGATAGTAATAGTACTGAACCTGATAGTAATAGTACTGAACCTGATAGTAATAGTACTGAACCTGATAGTAATAGTACTGAACCTGATAGTAATAGTACTGAACCTGATAGTAATAGTACTGAACCTGATAGTAATAGTACTGAACCTGATAGTAATAGTACTGAACCTGATAGTAATAGTACTGAACCTGTCTAAAAGTGCTCGGATCTTACATTAAAAAATCACATGGACCACAACAATATATTTTTTTTACTTTTCATCCGTGTAATTGCAGCCTTAACCTTCGGCATTTTCATAGACTAATAATATATGTAAACTATATTAAAGTATGTAAACTATATTCTTTCCCTGTCACTATTGCACATGAGAGTATAAGTCATTTAAGCATAAGTTATGAATTAAGTATAACCATTAGTTCTTTCGAAAAGTTTTATATTTTAATCTACTTCAGAAGTTGTAAAACAAAACTTATGTATTATTAAACAGGTAAAAACTCTTATATCCATATCCAAATCAAAATTTCAGAAAAGTAAAGTTTTCTTTACAGTCCGATTAAATTTTATTTATAAATTTGGATACTCTAAATATAATAATCATAATCTTTGATCATTTTTCTTTGGTATTTAACAATTTCTTTAAATTGCAATTTTATTTTTGAACCAACTTTTAAATACTTTATATTTAATTTTAAAACCAACTTTTAAATACAAACAATAATTTTTAAATACAAAAAAGATTGGCAAAATTAAATTTAAATGCGTGTAACAATTTAGTGAAAATTTATTGGCTTCTTAAAACAATTGCGTTTTTTAAAAAATCGTTTATTGGTTACTTTATAAATTCAAAATAAGATGTTTTAAAACGAGGTTACTAGAATTAAAATAAAATATTTCAATGTTTGAAATTAACAACCTAACAAAACTAGTCCAAAATTAAGACTTGAAATGTAAATCCGCAAGCCATTCTTAAACCAGAATACTTGAGATTTGGCAAAACCTTATTTCTAACCTAGACACAGCAAATGCAACCTTAAACAACTCAAAATTAAAAAAAAAAGCTAAAATCGACCTACCTTGATATATACATATATATATATATATAT